ATCCCCAGTGGCCCTGCGGCTGACCTGAGGTGGTGGCCACCTTCATGTCCTCTGTGCCCATTAGGGCAGAAAGGCCCTCAGCCCACAAGGGCAGGTCAGCAATGGCCCCCTGACCTGGAGAATCAAAGGTCCTTGAGTCCTTTCAATATCAATAAAGAAAAGAAAAGAAACATGAGCTTTTTTCAGAGTCAGATTATTTTCTGGCATCTGATCTCCTCGCTCTCTGCTGTGGGGGGTGAGTGATACCAACAAGATACAAAGGGAGAGGAAGGTGGGCTATTCTGTGAAGAGTCAGCTGGCAGTGTATGACCCAGCTGGTCTGTCACCTATCGGCTGTGCCCCGGTCCCACTAAGCAAGACATACAAGGTCATGATCATATAATAAGCCCAGACGGCTCCTAGTCCGTCACCTCAGACCCCGCCATCAGAGCTATCACTGGGAAAATAGCATGAGAAGTGACTTCAAAAATGAAGGTTTTTTCCCCCCAAATTTGTGTCTAGTCACCAATCTAAGTAGAATACCTCAAACTGTTATTTGAGAATTACTCTCAAAGAATAATATGGACTAAAAGTAGAACTTGATTTGTTTTTTTTTCCTGTTTATTTTTCTCTATATATAATTTACAACATTATTCATTTTTGTATAATGTAAACTTTTTCATCATGGAATTCCACCATCGAGTTACCCATGAGACATCACCAAAGTCCCTTGTGCTCTTCCCACCCATTTTAATCCCTCTTCCAACCCCCTTCCCTGCTGAATGTCTCCAATTTATAGTTGCCTGTTCTTGCTAGTTTTGTCTCTCCACCCCCCAACCCCGGATCCTTTACTTAGTCCCTATATTTCTCTTGTAAGTGAAAGAGCTTACCTCTGAGAGTGCCTGTCATGGGATTTACTTCAGCTGTACATGAGGCATGACTGGTTTTGACTTTCCTGTTTAGGACTCACTATCTAAGCATCTAACAGCAGAACATTGCTTCTCTAAGTAAACAAGAGACTAGAAAAATCTGATCATCTATATCTAGTTCCATTTCCTTTTCTAGTGAAAAGAAAATAGCACAAGTACTTGGAGTATAAGGGTGAATAACTGAGTACACCTAACAAGATTGACTTAGAGAATGAAAACAGAACACTAAATAGGCCATTAAAAAATAATCATCTCAGGCCCTCCCTGGTGGCGCACTGGGTTAAAGCTCAGCACAGCGAAGCTGTCCTCAGCCACTGCAGCATGCGTTCAGCCAGGGGGTGACCCACATGGCTCAGCAGACCTCTCCTGTCTCACCTGCTGCTCCCCTCAGCAGTGTATTTTGTTGATCTGCCTGTTCTGCTCCCCACGGTCTCTGGTGAATCCTCTCACCACCCCTGCACCTCTGGTCTGTACCCCAGTTCTGTATGCACAAATAAATAAATCTTTAAAAAATAGTAACACACACATCTCACACACACATCATCTAATGTGTTCTAAACAACACAGTTAATGGGAGGAGAGTGAATCTTTAAGCTTCACCTTTTGTGGAAAACAAAAATGACATAACTTAAATGAATTTGGCTTTAAACATATTGGAATATGACTGTGTCTCCTTCATTCCCTCACCCTGAGGATCCCCCAGCTCCACAATGAGAGTTCTGCACTGCAGTGAACCCACTGACAGCTAACAGCACCGAGAGGATGGGGCTGAGGATCAGGCAGAGAAGCACGAGATGGCACAGTTCGGTGTCCTTGTTTAATGTGTGTGCAGTTCAGACATTTCTCTTATTCTATGTAATGAATATAATTTACTAGCCTGGCAAGTTTAAGTATTATATAACTATAATGTTGCACAACACAAATTACAGACACGATTTCAGACATTTCACCTTCTGAATTCTTCCATCTCTGTGCTACATCTTGACCCTTTATTGACAAATCCAAAATCCTCCTGACTCTGAATGGATTTTGCAATACATTTTTTGCAATAGAAAAGGCTGAAAAAATTTCAACAGGCTGTTCAGTTGCTGGCTGGCTAGTTTTCTCATTAAGTCACAAAGGAAGGGGGCCCTTTACAACCAAGAAGTCTCTTGAATAGTTTGATAATCAGAGAGACTCCTTGACCCTGCTAAGGAGCAGATTAAATTCCTACACCAGTGTTTAAGATTTCCTTTGGTTGCAAGGAACTTATTGGAAAAAAAAAAGGCAAAAACAAATCTGGACTGCTTGGCTTTTTTTTTTTTACCCCTTCAGTATTTAATTATTCAAGTTACTATACTATAGAAACACAAAAGAAAAAATTCAGTTTTGTTTAACAGCCTCACAAAGTCAGAGAAAAGTTTAAATTAAGTTTGAGGGCCACATGCCATAGTAAGAAACGCACTTAACATCACACTTCCACAAAATACTATATACCTAAAATAGAAACCAATTCATGGTTTCTATTTTATTGTGTACTGCTCTGTTGATTTCTATTTTCTTTCCTTCCTCCATTTGTCCATCTTTCCTTAAAAAAAACATTGCCACAAGAAAAAGGAACTCCCCTGCACTGCTGGTGGAAATGCAAACTAGTACAACCACTATGGAAAACTGTTTGGAGGTTCCTCAAACTGCTAAACATGAAGCTTCCCTATGACCCAGCAATCCCAACCCTAGGTATCCACCTAAAAGACACAAAAGCACTGATTCAAAAAGATACCTGTACCCCAATGTTTATTGCTGCTTTATTTACAATTGGAAAGACATGGAAACAGACCAAATACCCAAAAGTAGATGACTGGATTAAAAAGATGTGGTACGTATATACAATGGAATATTACTCAGCAATCAAAAATGATAAACCTTTTGCAGCAACATGGGTGGAGCTGGAAAAGATCATCCTTAGTGAAATAAGCCAGAAAGAAAAGGAAAAATACTGATGGTTTCACTCATAGCAGGAGTATAATGGACCATGTGAGAAAATAGTAATAATGAACAGTTATATACCAGAGACATTTTATGGGGGTGGAGTGGGGAAATGGGATCAGAAACAGTTGGGGGAGGGAAGTGCACTGTACTATGGTGATGGCACATGGGTGATTTGATGATGGGAAGCCCACGGGGATTACAACGGAGATGGAAAAAGGCACAAAATGATGTAAAAATAAACTATTATTTTTTAAAAAAATCTCCACAAAGTGCTGCTTGAAAACCCCCCTCTGCCCTCACCCCCCCCCCACACACACACACGTTTCACAACTTCCTCATGAATGGAAGCCTTGGAAAACTCTGGATTAAAGTGGCGATTATAAATCAACAAGGATTAACACAAAGGTTATCTTTAAAGTCACTTATAATACTGGTGCTAAGGGGATAAAGCTCGTTCCCATATTGTAGACTAAACGGGAATAACAGGCTTTTGTGGAATCTTATTACTTCTACCTTATTTAAACAACAACAAAATCTATTTTAATTAAAATGATAATGCTGGACTTGAATAGGGTCTCAATGAAGAAATGCACACCTTTAGCTAAAGTAAAAGTCCTCCCACCTGTGTTTCTGCTCAACCAAGACTCTCTGGCTTTGTAAGCATTTACATACACATGGATCTACATAAAAAGATGGAGTTTTAATAATCTAGTCACTACTGTAATGTGTTCAACTTTTTTTCATATACTAACTTGAATAACATTAATTGAACGTGTGTACAATTATATCTACTAAGCATATTTTTCATTTTAATATAATAGTTTACTTTTACATCATTTTGTGCCTTTTCCATCTCAGTTATAATCCCCATGGGCTTCCCAGCACCAAACCACCCGTGTGCCATCACCATAGTCCAATGCATTTCTTTCCCCGCTCCCCCCAGCCCCCATATTTTGATCCCATTTCATACTCCACCCCTGGTGGAGGTCTCTGATATATAGTTGTTCATTATTATTTCCCACCCACCCCACCCCCCGTTCCTTTATGCTCCTGCTATGATTGAAACCATCTGGTATTTTTTCTTTTTTGTTTCTTTCTGGCTAGGCACATTTTTTTGAAAAAGACTTATTTATTTATGCATACAAGAACTGAGGTTCAGGCCAGATATGGGGAAGTGAGAGGATTCATCAGAGACAGAGTGGGAAGCAGAACAGGTGGATTGACTGAAGTGCACTGCTGAGGGGAGCAGCAGGTGGGTCAGGAGAGGTCTGCTGAGCCATGTGGGTCACCTCCCTGGCCAGGGATTGAAATCATGCTACAGTGGCAATGGATCGCTTCATAGTGCTGCTCTTTAACCCACTGCACCACCAGGGAGGGCACATTTATTCACATGCTTTTAGAGATTTATGAAAATGCCAAGTTAGAGAGTAAATTGATTAGAAAATAACACTTCTGAATGTTTAACAATTGCCAGGATTCCTTGCCTATAAACTTGAATCCTCTTATACTCAAAATACTTTTTTCTTCTCTGATTTGTATTCTCTTCCATGGCAAGTTTTCTGTTTGTTGAGACCAGTGCCTCTTGATCACCATGTGGATTTTCCTTGACACTGGGGGATTCCTGGCTGCTCATTTTCGAACTTGTGTGTCCCTCTGGGTGTCCATGAACAATGCGCCTGATCAGGGCACTCCCCCAGACTAGGCAGAAGGGCGAGAGGTCGGAGTCCAGAACCTGCCTCCCTCCTCCCCACCACATGTGTACAAGCGCTCCCTAGGAGCAGACACCTCTCTGCCTACAGCCAGACACTGAATAAATATTCCTTCCTCACTCACCTAAAGGTGTACACCCTACAACCGAAACTACATGCCGACTACAAGAGGGGCTCCCCTAAGTGGTAGGGGCCACTGACCCTGATAAACTCCAGAGAGATTCCGGACAAGCGCCACACATAGTGTGATGTCAGTCAGCAAAAAAAAATTTCAGTACAGGTACGAAGATAGAGGTACATTATGATGACATGTGCTGCGGCAACCCCACCTTCACCCATTGCACTAGTCAGAAGGGACGTTGTCTCAAACCCAACTCTGCCAAGGCAAATCAGGCAATGTACTGGCTTGTCTAACCTGAAAGTCAGGGGCACAGTGGCCTTGGCCGTTCAGACGCAGGAGGCAGCAGGAGGCAGGAGCTCACGTAGGCCGGCAGGGTCTGTCGCTTTCCTTTTTCTTTGGTCTGCTTTGATCTGGTGGTCTCATTCATTGGCAGGCGCCCTCCTACTCTGTTAATCCATCTCTGGCTCTGGGCTAATGTTCGTTCAGGCATCTGTCCTATGGGAGGAGAGAGGCCTGTTTCTCTCCAGTAACCCAGGAACCCCACGATGGTCTTACTGGCCAGGCAGAGGCTAGGTCCCTGGTCCATCACTTCAGCCGCCTGGCCAGCTGGGCCTACAAGCCATACCGAGGACAGGGCAATTCCCCTGAGGGCATTCAGGGTACTCGAAGGAAGAGGACCAGATCTGGGCTGGCAGAACCACCACGAGCCTTACTTGGTTCTCCACATACAAGAGTTACTGCCAGGTATCATAGAAACAAGATTCTTTGGAAAATAGCGATGACAGATAAGTCAAGGAAAGAAGTAATGTTGAGAGTGGTAACAGGTGTGTCGGGCAGAACACAGGCTCCTCAAAGGTGTTCACAAAATATTCCCTGGGGGCATATATCTTACCTGGCAAGAAGGGCTTCGGATGTGATTCAAGTCGTGTGGCTTGAGTGGGGAGATGGCCCCAGTCACCCAATGTGTGTCACCTTAAAGGGGCTTGTAAGGAGGAGAGGGTGGCAGAAGGGTGGGCTAGGAGTTACAGCATGAAGGGATTTGAGGTCTGCTTGCAGGTTCTGAGTCTGGAGCCACGTACAAGGGCCGGAGAGAGATGATGAAATGCTAATAAGGAACAGCCAGCAAGGAAATTGAGAACCGAGTCTGACAGCCTCATGAATAGCCCAAGTAGGCAAAAAACCAGGTCCCCCTACAGCCTCCACCACCTGGGCTGTACCCTACCTTAGAATGCTGCTTCCTGGCCATGCCACGGAGGGTTGAGGGCAGCTGTAGCGTTGGTAGAAGGGAGAAGAGGTGAGCCCCCCAGAGAGAGCTATTATTTTCTGAGTGTCCAGTCTCTGTCAGAAAGAAGTGCTCAGCTTCTCAGTCAGTGGTTACAAATACTCTAATGGCCCTCCCTGGTGGCACAGCGGGTTAAAGCACAGCACAAAGAAACTTAAACCACTTCTGCATGAGTTCGATTCCCGCCTGCCCCGGAGGTGACCACATGGCGCGGCAGACCTCTCCTGACCCGCCCGCTGCTCCCCTCAGCAGTGTACTTCGTTGATCTGCCTGTTCTGCTCCCCATTCTCTCTCTCTGTTGAATCCTCTCACCCTCTGCATCTCTGACCTGTACCCCAATTCTGTACAAATAAATAAATAAATCTTTAAAAAAAAAAATAAATACTCTATTGCAGAGAGCACTCATCTATTTAGAGATTGGGAAGCCTGGCTGGCTTGCCTGAGATCATGCAGCCACTAACTGGGCAAACTGGGACCTTAATTAGATCCCCCATCAAAAGCCAGACTTCAAAACCTATGCTTTTAACTCACTATGCATAATGCACAGGAAAGAACAGAATAAGAGCTATTATAGACATATGAGGCTGGAATTTGGTGGCTAAATAAAAGTATAAAAGATCAAGATGGAAGGGAGAGGTCTCTGCTTGACTAGGTGTGTGCTGACATGCAGGTACAGAGATCAAGTGCTTCTCAACCAGGGGCAGCTCCATGCCTTGGGGGCATTTGGAAAGGGTGTGTGTGTGTGTGTGTGTGTGTGTGTGTGTGTGTACATTGTGTGGGGGCTGTTTTGGATGTTCCTGTGCTAAATACACTTTATGGCACAGGACAGTCCCACTCAACACAACTGTCACACCCCAAATGCCAAGAGCACCTCTTCTGACAAATACCAAAGACCATCAAAAGGCCAGTTGCCTGCCAGACTAGCAAGACATGGGAAGAAGAGGCAGAGACTTCAAGAAATAGATACCAGAATCCACAGAACAGACAGGATGCCATGAAGGAGCGCTCACAATTAAGAGAGCATTTTGAAAAACCATTCCAAGAAAGGAACATCAAGGTGTGATCTCTGAGGGGTGGAAGCAGTGTAGCCTGGACTCTGGTGAGAGTGCCCCCAGCCGACCTGCTAATCAGCAGCCTGGGAGGGACCCATAACATTGGAGGAAACTGTGCAAGAAAGGAGAGGAAATGAGAGCCTGTGGAGAGGAGTGGTTGGTGGGGGCAAAGCCGTGGAGGGAAGGGGAGCAGTCAGCCCATCCAGATGCCTTCACCTTGACCAGAAAGTGGTTCCACGGGTTGAGGACTGGTATGGGGCTAAAAAGAAAAGTGCTAAAAGATTGGACAGAAAAGGGAGAGGAGGAGCCAGAAGAATGAAAGCACAGCATGCATGAAACAAGTGTGAAGGGGGAAAATAAACAGGAAAGAAGAGAAAATGGTGGAGTGAAAGGGCCAGAGGCCTGGACCCTGGGCGCACAGCAGGGGACAGCCAGGTGGAAATGTGGGAGGGGTGGGGGTAGGGGGGGAAGGAGCAGGGAAATGCTGATGGGAAGACAGCAGACTTCTGTGGAGAATGAAAAAGTGATCCAAGACCACTTGAAAACAAAACACCGTTAAAGGAGATAGACCCAAGATAGAACACCAGAGTGGTGCAAAGCTTAAAATATGCCAGAGTTATGAACTGAGATTTCAGCCCTTTTTCTTTGGGCACATATTCTATATATATTAAGCAAAAAATTACCCACAGCCTAGGACTGAGTTATGTGGTTACTGAGAAAGCGAGAGCTGCCTGTGACAGTTTAATTTTATGAGCCAACTTGACTGAGTCAGAGTGCCTAGAGTTCACCAAACACTCTGTGTGTTCCTGTGAGGGTACTTTTGCATGAAATTAACATTTAAATTGGTGAACTTGAGTAAGCAGATTGCATTCCCCTGGTGGGTAGCCACATCCGAATCAGATGAAGGCCTGCTTAGAATAAAGGGCTGACAGGCCCAAGGAAGAGAGTATTCTCCTGCCTGGCGGCCTTTTGAGTGGGACACTGACTCTTCCAAGTTCTGCAGCAGTTTCTGGTGTTTGGAGTCAAGTTGGGACATTAGTTGTGGAGATCTCCAGCCCCTGTAATGGTATGGATTAACATATTATGATAAATTCTATATACAATAAATTCCAGCATATCATAGTAAATTCCACACACACACACATGCACACACACACACACACACACATATTCCACATATCATACTGGTTCTATTTCTCAGGAGAACCCTGAAATACACTGCCCACTGCAGGACTTCATCACTTATTCCCAACTTCAGAACGGATTTGAAAGAGCTGCTTGGAGAAGCTTCAGGCAAGTTGGCTTTGCTTTAATCAGCTGTCCTTACAGCAGCAGAAGCAGATTCATTAGACAGGTTCTGAAATGAAAGAGAAAAAAGGAAGAAAATACGCAGAAGAAACACCAAGGTGAAGGTGAAATCAAAACGTTAGAAGCAAAATTCTGACCACAACTAATTAAGAAGTAAAGGCTCAGGGGTAAACTAGGAAACCACAACAAAAGACAACAGAATAAACAGTGGCAGCCAAGAAAAAGGGAAAAGAAGTCTAATAAACCTGACTGGCCTTCCAGTTTTACCAGGAGAGTTTGAGTTTTGGAAACTGATTAAACGTGAACAACGACGTGTAGCTCAGCGGAGCTGGAGAGCTGACCCCCCCAGCAGAGGGGTTGAGCTGTGTGTCTGGGTGTAAAGATAAGAGCTTTCCAAAGAATTTATTTCAGAAAAGAAATCCTGACAGAAGGGCAAGCAGCCAATTAAAATCTGGGAAACTCTAACTACGGAAAGTTTGATGCTTCCTTTCAACATAAGTACCCAATTACACGGGCCCCACTCCAGGACCAACACCAACACTTCACAAGCAATAGATTCGTACACGCTAGTGTTCATGCTTCTCCCAAGCTGCAGTATTCCCTGGAAATGCTGTTAGAGCAGAGTCAAACAAAAACCCTAAATGACTTAAGAGGCAAGAGAGAAGGTAGAATGATGATGATTTACATGATAGATTTACACTCCTGGCAAGTTAATGAGATCATAGCCTTGGTCTCAGAAAAAGGCTCCACAGTCTGAAGCAAAAAGGCCCATGAAGTGTCACCTCTAAGGCCCATGAAGTGAGAAACGCTGACATACAGTGAGGACAGCAGGGTTTTCCCCAACCCCAAAACAATGCTGTCCTATGTAGGCTGCTACCAAAGGACCACTGTGAGCTAGCACATGGCTACAGAATTAGCCAGTTATGTATCCAGTCTGATTTAAAATGTCAACAGCTCTGATGGCTATGATTTCAAAGACATCAGGGCAGTTGCGAAAGAAATCAGTAATTAGTTCATAAATGACTAAATTCTTCCTGGATCTTTATGGATTTGCTTGCAAAACACTCTCAGTCGTGACAGGGGAGAGCTCCCCAGAGTCCATCACACTGCCTGGCACAGCCGATGCTCAATAAATCCATCACTGGGAGAACCCAGTGCCGACGACACATATGCCAAAGACAAGTGAGGGCTGAGGGTTACCAACACGTGAGGAAGACACTGGCCACAGGGACCTTGAAACACCTAAGTCAGACCCTACACTAGGTCCCCTTGTTAACTGGGACAAGAACCTAGGTTCACCATGGTTTGTAAGCCTGTGCCTCACTTACTGTCTGTTGTACTTTTAGACCCTCACAAAGTGCTGCCATGCCCACCTATTACTCAAAAGACTCTGAGCTTTCTCCTTTTCTTGAAGGGGAGGGGTCTTTGCATTAGCTGCTTCTTCAGTCAGGGAAATTCTTGCCCTAGTTCTTCACATGACTGGCATCTTCTAGCATAACTCCCCATTCCATCTGAAGCAGCTCCCTCCAACCTTTCAGGGCCAGGTCTCAGGATCACCTCACAAGTTCAGGGGGTGAAAGACCTTGTTTATTGTGAGTCTGTGAATGTCAACAACTGGCAGGGAGGTTCCATGCAAGCAGGCTCCTTTTCCTCATTTCAGTGCTCTTGTCCCAGACCCAGGTGCTCAGCAAAGAGCATTTGCTGAGAGTAGGAGAAATCTGTCCTCAAGGAGCTCACGTGCCTTTCATAAATGTTTGCTGACTGAGTGAACGGCTGCTCAGTAGTCGGTGACCACGTGCTAAAACCACAGAAAGAAATCATCAGACCGGTGCAGCCTCAGTCAATTCATCATTTCTTCGGACTCCGAGAATGACGTGACAACCGGTGAGGAGGGGTCCCTGAAACAGATATGTGACGTGGAAATGGAGGAGGTGGGAAGACAGCTGCACCTCAGTCTGACTGGGAAGACAGAGTGGCACAAATGAAAACACAAAAATAGAAAGAAACTGACAGGAAAAGAGGGTCATAAAATCTCAGCAAAGGTAGCAGGAGTAAGGAAAGGAGAAGCACCCACAGCACAGGCTTGCTCCGGGTCTTTTATAAAACGGAACCCAGTTCTTAAAAACTATGTTGACATAAACATAAGCCAAGAATTGAGAGCATTTGTAGAAAGGTTGATATAATTTGGTAGGTTTTTTTAATTGAGAAAAAATTCACACATCACAATGATCATCATCTTTAAAGTATACAATTCGGTGGTTTTGTATATTCACAAAGTTCTGCACATCACCATTATCTAATCCCAGAACATTTTTATTTCCCCCCAAAAGAAACCCTCGACCTATTTCCTATCTTCCCCAAATCCTTCTCTCTCTTTTCTGTCTATAGTATGGATCTGATTTGCCTATTGCTGACATTCTACATAAATGAAATTGTATATGTGACCTTTTGTGTCTGGCTTCTTTCATTTAGCTTAATGTTTGCAAGGCCGATCCTTGTTGTGCCATGAATCAGTATTTCATTCCTTTTTATGGCTAAATAATATTCCATTGTGCAGCTGTACCACATTTATCCATTCGTTCCTCATCAGTTCAGGGGCACCTGGTTGTATTCACTTTGGGGCTTTATAAAGCTGCTCTGCATCTTTGTGAACATGTTCTTATGTGGCTGTGTGTTTTCAATTCTCTTGGGTAGACGTGGCAATGCATGGCCAGTCCTCTGATGTTGGTAGGCTTTTTAAGGGGGAAAATTTGCCTT